AAGGCGTATGTGGAAGCCACCAAGGGGGAAGATCATTGGCCTACAGAGCAATTTCGCAGGGATATTGGTGGCCTTACATGCAAGCGGATTCAAAGAAGTATGTCAAGAAGTGCGAGAAATGCCAAAAGTTCGCACACCAGATACGTAACTTTTTTTGTGACAATTTTTTTTAAACTGTCTCTATAATTTATAATTAGTAATATTTTTTGTCACAATTTTCAAACTATTGCTGAAAATTAATAATTATTGACGTTTTTTAGTAGTGTATGATAAAAATGGTATTAATTATCATAGGACCTATTGGATAATAAATTCACTTAATATGAACACGTAAGACTCCTTACTTATTATCTTTCTTCAAAAAAAAAAAAAAAAGTGTGCATACAAAATATAAACTTCTATATATGCAAAACAAATATCCATCAACCATCCTTAAAAGTATTTATACAAAATACTAATATATTCAAGTACTCAAAAAAAAAAAAAAAAAAAAATTCTCAGTTTAGCTCTCAATATCACCCATTCAATCATATCAACTACTCGCTCAACACTACCTGCAAAAATATACATCAATATATTTGTTGACTAACTTGGATGCCAAAACAAAAATGGATACAAAGAGCACATTAATTGACAAAATAATCAGCTCTAAGAATATTGAAAAATTACTCGAACTTGATTATCTTCTAATTCAGCTGGACAAATCAGTGATGCTAATTGCGTAAAGAACACCCTACAACAGAAATTTTAAGAATTTGAGTCAGGAATTTTTCTAAAAGTAAGCAACTGTGCTACAGCACCAGTTTAACTACAATTGAATTCATAACACAAAACTCATAAATTAAATGCACAACAGATAAATGATCATATAGCCACATAAAATATTGTTAATTTATATTTTGTCAGATAACTAACTCTTTGTAAAGATTCTCTATCTAATACTTGTTATGGGCTGTGTGACTGAGGAGGAACCTCATGCAATCACAATAAGAGTTGGCAGGGCAAAAGTCCCACTGCTCTGAAGACTTGTGTTTGAGATATTAGGGAGATTTTCAACGGAGGGTGTGTTTTGGAGAGTTCTCTCATAGAGATAACTGCAGCAGTGTGTTTGATCCCATCTTAGTAGGGAGCATTCTTCCTTAATTGGGCTGCCAAAGGAGTCCTGTATTTGGACATATTAGGAATAAAATTGGCCATGTAATTTACAATACCAAGAAACTATTGGACCTGCTTGTATGTAAGATGTTCATTAAGGAAATTTTGTGAGTCTAACCATCACATCATACCATATAGAAGCAAAAACTAGATGGTAACACAAAAGTACCTTTGACTGCTTCATGAACTCATTCATGACCCTTTTGTAACAATCCTCACAAATAGCTGGTGGAACTTCTACACTCAATCTAATCTGAATAAAAATAAAAATAAAAAACATACTCAATTACAAATACATATAAAGCAGTACTTATACAAATATACTCTGATTAACAAGTGTACGCTGGCCAATAAATGTGTAGAAGGAAAAAAAAAAGTTGAGAAATGCAGTATAGGGTACTCGGAATCTCATGAACATGACAATAAAATAGTACACTTTGAAATTGGGCAAGAAAGGAAAAACCCAATAAAATTAGCTCCTAACAGCTTATTGTGCTCTGGATGATGATATCTGCTCTTCTTCATATCACTTGTATTGTGTAAAAAATTTCACAAGTTTAAAGTAAAGAACAAAGGAAATGCCAGATTATCTACGTAAACTCATCCAGATAAGAAATAGGAGAGCAGATATCATAATTGAGTGCTTCAGAGTTCGCTGGTTTTAAAAAAACAGAAATTTATACATATAGTGAATTGTCTACATAATGAAGTTGAAAAAAAAAACCTAAAGAGAAAATAGGAGAAAATATAAAATGAAAAAATGAAAAGCATCTTAGAGTCAACATTCCCCATAGTTTTCTTCACTAGCAATCAAAGTGCAAGGATAACAAAAGGTTACTCATCACTAATGCTCACATAAATCCATAGCTTCCATAAAAAGAACACATAAAACTAATGAACCAAAAGCAAGTGGTAAATGGATCTTAGAATAATATGAATATCTTCAATCCCTTTAAAGGGAATTACAGATAGATAACGCAGTTTTTATCAATCATCATTGATCCTATCCAAAAAACCCAATTGAGCAAAACAAAAAAGTTTAGTACTAAAAAAAAACAGAGCAGCCAAGCCAAACAAAGAGAGAGCTATATCCATAGATTTCTAAAGCAGAAATCAAAGCAAAACAACTAACAAAGTAACAAACAGATCAAGCATAAAATAAGCTGTTAAAGCATAAAGATTTAAATTTTTTACACAATACAAGTGATAGAATTTTCTAAAAATCAGGAATCAAACACTTTAAACTCGTTATATGGACTTTTATATTCCCTAATATGAAGCTATGTTAACAAGACATAAATTGGGTATCGGTACGGGATGTATGGAACACATGAATTTTGCAATAGTTTTTTGGTTTTTTGTCTCGACAGAACAACAGAGCCATTTTCGATTGGATTTTTTTTTCTTTTCTGAATTGCAATTCAAGGTTATGTTTTGTTTAGATTCAGTACAGCTTCCTAATCTCTGAGTGTGTGTGTGTATGTGTGTGTGTGTGAGAGAGAGAGAGAGAGAGAGAGAGAGAGAGAGATGCAGGTTCATTGTATTGTGGATGGTGTGCTTAGTTTACATAAGCTTCCTAATCTCTGTGAGAGAGAAAGAGTAATGCAGGTTCATAGTAGTCTGGATTGTGGTTGTGGATGTTGTTGTAAATTTAAATACAGTTAAAAAATTGAGGAATTAAACTGGTCCGTGAATGTTTTCAAAAACTGAGGAATCTAACTCAGCCTAATCAGATTTTTTTTTTCTTTTCTAGTAGTGAAGCCCAAAGAATAGCAACAGCCAGCACAAGTTTTCCTAAAGAATCATTCCAATAATGGTATCCTTGACAACACCTAAAGTAATATCATACAATGATGGAACAAAAAGTTATTATAGTAATGTCTTTTTTAACCTTCCTCACACTAGCACCTTCTACATGCACAAAATTATAGCTCCAATGTGTTGTTGATCTGCTTTAATAAATGTAAACATCTAAAACTTGACTCTGCATTTTGTACATTATTTAACGATTATGTCATCTACAATGTCTAACTATGAAATTTTAGTCCTTATATTCAATAAAGTAAAATAAAAATATTTACTTCGGTATTTCATTAACACTTCAAAGAGATAACAAGTTCAAAGGTCATTGCAATCACAAATCATAACTGTTCAGTCAGAAATTAAATTACTCAAAACACTTTAAAAACGATCAATTTTTACGTGAACAACTTAAAACTGAGATTTTCTTGCCAAATAGAGTACAAGTTTCTTGAGTATCACTATCCCTGTGATTATCCAGCTTCATCATTTGGATAATCAGCTTGTAGTCACTACATACCTTTGACTAGATGGTAACACAATAGTACCTTTGACTGCTTCATAAACTCATTCATGACCCTTTTGTAACAATCCTCACAAACAGCTGGTGGAACTTCTACACTCAATCTAATCTGAATAAAAAAAAA